GTTTGTGCCAGAGTTTGTGCCAATGAAATTCCATCAAGTCGTTCCCTGAGACATCACCTCCAGAGAAATGGGACAGACATGAGGTCACAGTGACCTTGACAAAATCGAATCAGTCCTAATGGACGCTCGTGCCAAATTTGAAGAAATTCCCTCAAGGCTTTCCTGAGATATCGCGTTCACAAGACGGGAACAGAAGGACGGACAACCCGAAAACATTAGAAATACAGAATTAATATGTAAATAACAGAACATGTGAATTCAGCTCTCAACAGCACTGACCTGCAATCAGTGGCTGAACCAGCGCCTGTCCAGGTGGTGCGATGGCTGTGAACCCGAGTGTTGCTAGGGGCGATGGAACATATGCAGATCCAGCCACTGGCAGGGCTTGCTGTGTGGTGGAAGAGCCCGTTGTCGTGGAGACCAGAGGCAGCGTGGATGGGACCCCTGGCGTGGACTGGACATAGGTGATCCTGGACGGAGAGTACAGAAAAAGGGAGAGGTGATTAGAGGAGAGAAATATGACGAATAAAAATAAAAATGGAGAGCGAAGAAAGGAGGATGACAGTTTTGTAATGAAAGATACATCAGGAGAGGTGTAGTAGCGGTGACAGAATGTGTCAGGGTACAATAATGAGCCAGAACAGGAATGACGGGAACAGAGACATGATGAGAAGGAAAGAGGAAGACAAAAAAAGAAGTGCTGCAGTGAGGGTCAGTGGGTGAGTGTACATCACAGCGAGCAGCTCTGGATGACTATTGCTATGTGTGAGTGTGTGTGTGTGTGTGTGTGTGTGTGTGTCTGTGTGTGTGTGTGTGCTAGGAGCTGAGAGGTAGTGTGGGGGTGGCAGGCAGAGGCAACTTGGGCCACCAGCAGCATGACTAACACATCCAGAATAGAGCTGCACTGCTACAGCTGCACCCCTGCCGGAGTTTTGTTTCTCGTATTGTCTGCTTGGTACGCTTTAAAAGAATCTGGACGCAAATAACTTCCTTATATATTATTTATCCCATATTAAGTACCAGAATGCACCTGGAGTTGCTTGATCGATAAATTACAAGGAAAAGACATTTATGTTTTTGTTAACAACCTGTTAAACAGTAATGAGCACAAGCTTCATTAGTTGATATTATCTGTGTTCACATGGAGCTTTTTATCCCACTAATAAACTAACTACAATAAAAAGTCCACCCAAAATAAAACTGCTCGTTTAAAACTTCATTAGACATAAACTGACCCATTTGGAAAGGTATGTCATTCTGTCTGAAATGGCTAAATAAACCTTTTATCTGTCCAACGGGTGAGGATTGTCGTGTAAACGCTCCTTGATTGCTTTCTATTTTCGAGGCAAATACACTATTTCTGTGCATGCTCACCCAATTTAAATCCAAGATGGTTAGAGGGGATTTATCTTTGGTGAAGAGATGTTTACTAGTTCTGTGGAGATTCTGAATCACTGTATTCCCATGAGCGGCTGCTGTCTCCCATTTAATATCTAAAGGATTAGTATGTTGATAAAAACATTGCTTTACTAGAAAGCACAGCAGTAAGTCAAAAAAATGGTGCTTAAAGCTGCTCCATCTTTCAAATATAATTCTTTGAAATATTTATTCTTGATCATGTGCACAGGACAAGATTTTCATCATATGAAATAAATATTTGGCTCACCTCAACTATGACACAGAAAGAAACTGACATTAACAGAACCACTACTGAGATCAACAGTAACCTGGAGTAGGATAAGTGATGCTGGCATACGCTCATAAATGGGAACCTGTTTGTCAGAGCTGAGTCAAGCTCTACTGGCACGTAATTTGTTTATAGCTGATCTGATCTGTAGCACTGTTGGGTTCATCTATCTGTAAAAAAAAAAAAGAAATTGTTTTGGGCTTTTAAACGCAGATCTCCGTTATAGAACGTTCCAAGTCGACTCAAACATGTTAGGGAGAGAGATGCCATGCCCAAGCACTGAGGGAACACTCAAATCCCTTTTCCCTGCTCACCGTGATGCATCACTACTGGACTGGAAAATAATGCCATCAAGGAAGATGAGCCTTCACACAGACTACCTCAGTGATGAAAACAGTTTATCCTCACTGACTGTCAACCATCTACAGTTCTGAGAGGAAGCTCGCTCCTGCTTTAGTAACCCCACTGGTCATAAACTGAGTTCATTAGACAGGATTACGCACATTTAGCACATGCTGACAGCACCAAAGCTGTTAGAGTTTCAGAATGAAAGGTAGATAAAAGATTTATAAGTTCAGTTTTACCTCTAAGCTAATGTCTCATTTTGCTCACATGCTTTTTAATTTGTAGGTAAAGCCTTTATCTAAATTAATTCATCTTATAAGCAGCTGTAATGAAGGAAGTTGGAAATTTAGGGCAACGTGGCTGGTAATCTGATGAATAGGATTTTCCGAGGCAGATTTTCTATGTTACGCTGCAATGCTGTGAAAAAAAAACGACATGCTCACCTGAAATGAAAAGAGAGCATCTCTTCTTACCTTAAAATTGGCTCATGTACAGCATTTTGTTCGGGAAAGAATTTATTACCAGATTTTCATGCTCATTAGAAATTATGATTGGGTCTATGTTTTAAATGTATTACACAGCTATCTTAAGAGGGCAGCACCAGTCCTGCATTGAGATCATAACTTTTGTCTTCTGCAATATAGTGACTGCACTGTATTTAGACCCCGCCGAGTAGAAAGAGTTTTGAAATGTTACTGCCAAGTCGTAATTAGGCCAAAGTGACTTATATGGAAAAAAAACTAACAAAAAACACTTTGAACATGGAAGCAACATCTTAAATTGATAGTACATTTAAATGGTGAAGTTGCATGTCTTCTGTCAGTGGCAGGTGGGTGAGTTTAGTCTCAGCAGGCAATTACAGAAAAGCATTTCACAGTCAATTTAGGATAACTGTTGTGACTGACAACTTATTCGCACTATTTGAGCCCAAAGTTACTTGAAATTGCTATTTAAGATGTTGTTAGCCAGATGTTATGTCACAAAAAGCACAAAAGGGAGGTGGCGTAGGGTCAAGAAGTAAAGGATCCATATCCATTCTCTCATCTTAGTTTGTTATTTCCTACCTGGTAGGTGCTGGTGGCAGTAGTACAGCCTGAGAGTGGGCTGATCCTGGAGCCACAACAGCTGCTGTGCCCACTGTTACAGGGAAGGGGCTGGCAGGGTGGACTGCTCCACCCTGAGGCAGCTGGGACTGGACCACAGGCATGGGAGCAATCTGGATGATCTGGAGAGGCATGAAAAGTGGAAGCCATAAAGAAAGGAACACAACTGAACAACTTAGCCTAACTTAACAAAATGGACATTTTAATTTTTAATGTTCTCTGTGTGTCCACTCACTGACCTTGCTTCCGGTCTGAGCACCGTTCTGGACAGGAAGAGGTGGAGCCACAATGGGAAACTGTTGGGCAGGGGCTGTTGCAGTTCGAACCGTTGCCATGGGAACAAACATTTTACCCTGGAGCACTGGAGACTGTGTTTGCACTGAGGCAAAGAGAAAGAGGGAGAAGGGGTATTTTATTAAGAGTCACCGCAGAACAACAACTATATGTATCCAAGGCATTGTCATGATTCCACCAAGCACAGCTCTGTAACATCACTTCTGCGACGCTGTTCTGGCCCGTTGTACACGTGGCTTAATGCCCCACCAAAAACAGTGTCGGGGGCAGAGCCTTTTGCCCGCCAGATTTTGTTAACTTGGTAAGATTTTGTTGAATTGCACATTATTGCTTGATTTGTGTGCAACACTACGTACTTAAATGGCTTAATTATTACAATCAGGGGACTGCACCGGGTCTTCTGTTTTGAAAAATGAGCGGATTCTCTATACCACTTCTGTGTCTGGCTTCCTGTCTGCGTTATCTGCCCTGTGCTGCTTGACATGGATGGTTGTGGTTGTCGATCAAAAATAGACAAGCCGTACATTCTCTGCGGAGAGACGCTACGGGGACTTCTGTAACATGCTGCGGTGCTTTCTGGTGGAATCACAAGCTCTGTCTAGAACAGCTGTGATCAGCTCCGGTGGCCACATCAGTGTTTCCCAGTGGAATCAAGCAGTTACTGTCATGACCGCCGTTCTAAAACTCTCACCTCTAGGTCCAGGGCTGACAACTCCCACTGCTGAGCTGGACGTATATCCTGTCAGTGAACTTGTACCCTGCTGCTTTCCATTGGCCAGGGAAACATGTGTAGGTGGAGCTGTGGGCAGGTTGAAGATACTGGTTGGCTGGTTGAGGTGTTGAGGTGGACTCTTGGGGTGGGTGTTGGCAGGTAGGGTGGGCAGGATGTACTGAACTTGTGTGATGGCCTTACCCCCAGGGGGTGCTAGGGAAGAGGCGGGGAGGAACTGGGGCTGAAGCAGAGGCAGAGGCAGGGGCCCATTGGTTTGGCTATGCGGTGCTGAAACAGCAGTGGAGGGAAGCGCCTGCTGATGTGTGGGCTGAGGCTGGGGGGAGGGGGTGATGAGCTGTACAGCAGGTTGAGCAGACAGGGCCCCTCCTAACACTAAATTCGTCACAACACCACCTGAGCCAACGCCTGCACCTACGGGATTAGGTGATGATGAAGAGTAGTACCCACCCCCTGTGGCTGCAGCCCCACCTCCTGGTCCTGAACCAATTAGAAGTTGTGGCTGCTGCTGGGGAGTGAGGGACTTCCTCTCTGGTGGATGGGGGCTGGATGACGTGCCTCCATCTCTAGGTTTGCTGGCGATGGGGAGCGGTGTGCTGATAACAGGACGCATTACATTGGTCACCACCGTAGAGGCCACCCTTACCGCGCCAATGCCCAGGAGCGAGTTTGCACCCAGTGAACCTACTGATGAGGATGGAGGCCCCCCAGCTGGAGAAGTCGATATGACTGACTGGCCAGAAGAGAGGGAGAGAGAGGTGGATTGCACTCCTCCTCCTCCCTCCCCCCCAAATGTGTCCTTACCCTCTCCCTCTCCTCTTTCCTTCCTCCTATGATCTGAAAACCCTCCCCCTCCTGATCTCCCCTCATCGTAACGCTTGCTGGTGGGGTAAGAGGACAGTGAGACACTCCTGCCATGAGGTGTATGGTGCGAGGAAGATGTTAATGCAGAGGAGCAAATGACTGGAGCAAAAACTCTCTGAAAAGAAAGACGGAAAATTATTTTGAGAAACACAAATATAATTGAGAGCCAAAAAAACTGACGAGTCACAGTGTATGAGATACACTGAAAGGCTCAATAACAGGAGAGAAAGCTGGTTACCTTCCGATCACTTTCGTCTCCAGAGCCGTTCTCACTGTCGCTGTCAGTCACCCGCTCCTTACATTTGAGGTCTATGGAACTGCTAGGATAAGGGTCCTCTGTGAAAAAGAAAAAAATACACTACAGCTACACTTGACGTTCCTTACAATTTATAATCCATTCAAGTCAGGATATACTGAAGTGTCTGAATCAGCTCTCAATACAATCAGATCTTTAAAAGAAAAATATGTAAGTGGTTAAAAACTAGACACAATCATGCCATATTATAAGCTATATTAAGAAGTAAGGTAATAATGTAATGTAATAATGTAATAAAGTAAGGGCATCACTGCTGACAGTATCTATTACTTCTGAGTGAGAATGTTATTGTTGTACCACTGAATAAGATTTCCACATTCTGTTCCTAGAAATGTACAAAGTGGGTCAGTGGAGGCAGTGTAATAACACTTAGATAACCCTAATCTAACAATTGGTTTCATGAGTAGAGTAGGTCTGATTACTCACCGATGACATCATCATCTCCCTCCTCCTCACAGATGACCATGCGCTCCTCGTCACTGGTCATGTCCTCGCTGACCCCCCGCTGGGACTGTTGGGCATGACTTGAAAATTGACTGCCACCATCCCCGCACATCTGAAAAATAAAGTAGGAGAGAAGAGCAGAGAAGCTTTTGAAAGAAAGTGCCAGTGACTTCTCATTGGTGTGTTTTCTATCTGCATATGCCCGGTGTGTCAATGTGTCTTCTGGGTATTTTATGCAAAATGGGGGAGATTTCCTACAGAGATACCACAGGAAAATGTCTAGTACTCCACGGTCACAACTGCCACATTGTTAAAAAAACATTTTTCTCATGTTTGTGAAAAGTAAATCTGCCAGAGAAAACAATTTCTGTTGCAGCGACTCCATTAAAAAACAAACTACATTTGAGAAACAGCAGTAAAATACTGTTCATGTCTCCAGCTGTGATAATGGTCTTCAATTTATGTAATGTATAATTAAAAACTGCATATTACAAAATCAACTTTCCAGGTCTTTGAGATGCGCTCCTCTCTTACCTGTGCTAGTTCTGCCAGGGCCTGTGTATTACCCCTGTCACCCCGCTCCAGGCTGTGCATGGCGCTTTGAGAGAAGGCTCTGGGACGGGTAAGCTGGCCCACATGACCTTCTCCTGTACTCCTTTCAGAAACACCCACCAGACCTGGACCAACCGCCTTCAGCTCCACCGAATGGGGCTCTATTAATGCGGTAAAAAGAGGACCATTAGAGGACTGGAAAGGATAAGAACACTGTAAATGATAGATCTTACAAAAATATACATGTGTATGTTGTATAAACGAACCTGTGGACTCAGACATGCTCCTCTCTCTGATGTCTTTGCCCCCTGGAACCCCACGGCCTTCAGAGCTGGACTTCTTCCTGTCTTTGTTGCACCACTTCCAGTCTGGGTGCGCCTTAAAGTGGGCCTCTTTTACCTGGGACCAAGAGAAGGGACAAGGAGGGAGTAAGTGAAAAATAAGCCAAAAATATAGTATGTGTACTATAGGTTAGCACAGAAACATTAAGTCGAATGTCACGGTTCTGAATTTTTATGAAAATGCATCTGTGTACCTGGAAGGCCAGATCATGGTACTTTTGTTTCTCCTTGGGTCCCAGAGCATACCACCACTCCCCGAGAATCTTGCTAACTGTCCTGTTGTCCTGGTTTGGGTGCCGTTGGTGCACCAATGCTCGATGGCGCTTACTGAAAATCATAAATGCATTCATTGGTCGCCGGATGTGGTCCTTCTCCCTCTGCAAGAGTAAGCAAAAAAATATGGAGAGATTTGGCATTACATAATTTAGTAAAAGGAACATTGATAGTTTTGATTTGTTCTGGTGGGAGCAGAGAAAAGACTACCTTTCCAGGGCTGCTCTTATCTCCATCTTTGGGCAGCGCACTGAGGGACTGAGTGCGCCTCTTAACTGGAGATGTAGATAGGGGCTGCTCTGGTACAACCCCTGGAAGAAAGCTGAAAGGGCAAACGACGAAAAACAGCATGTTTGTTATCTTTATTAGATATTTTCTTTGGGAAAAATGTGCACATGCAGGCTTACACCATTTTCTCTTTCCCTCTTAAATATTATTAAAAAAAAACCCTTACTCCATAACTGGTATTATTTATCTTATAGATCAGATGTAGACACAGAGCACAAGTAGTTCATTTCCCATGAGATACATCAGCAGTTTCAGCAGATAGCTCATCCATTTCAATGGCTGACAGCCTGGCCACTGCCTTTCATATAGTGATAGAGCCCAGAGATGGAATGCTTTTGTTCCCATCTGCTTTGTTCTGGCATTGAGCTCTTCTGCCCAAATTAGCGCGAGGATACAGAAAATATCACACTCCCTTACTGTATGTGTGGGTACACAGTACCACACAGAAAATTACTGTGAAGGCTGACTTGGACAAATACGTAACCACTTTTATATATACGGACACTGATAAGGGTGTGTGTGCAGTGTGTATCTTTATATGTTCAGCTAACCTCTCAGCTTTGCACATACAATCCCTGTAGAACAAAAACAACTGCACTTACGGGTCATCCACGTCACTCTCTGTCTCGCTGTCAGGCCTCTCCCTCTCTGCTTCCCCTTTCTCCTTCTCTGGAGGCGGCTCATCAGAAGAGGGGAGAGGCCGGGACATGGGACCTCTCTCTACGGTGGGAGGTGCCTCTGCAGGTTCCTGTGACAGCGCTGCCACCCCCTGACACTCTGAGGAAGAACAACAAAGAGATGCTTGTTCAGGATAAAGTAAACAATATGTAGTATTCAAAACACTGTTCAAATCCAAAGAAAATACAATTCAACACATTTTAAGAGCGGTTAGGTCAGGCATAAATGTACTCAGTACCTGTCTTCAGACTGGCTGCTTGGGGGTGGTTGACTGGGTGCGGGCCCTCTCCTGGCTGAGAAGAAGCGTCTGATTGGGTGGGTGCCAGGAAAGGGACCAACGAATGCCAGGGGAAGACTGGAACTGACCGGGGCTCTACATTGGTCCACACTGCAGAGGAAAACAGTAGGTTTATTACTAACAGCATCACCATCTGATGTCCATAACTTCACAATATGCTTCCCTGCTAAGATATCACATTCAAAAGAACCAGGCCTTCTGACATTCAGATTACAAAGATGCTATTTCCTTATTTGGGGAATCAAGGCCCTTAGTGCAACACTCCCAACAGAAATCCATTCCTATTACCAACTCTAATCATTTCTTAAAATGTGTTTGCAATGTTACCCTAGATCTTTCTTTTATTAGAATTATGGCCCGACAGAACCACAAATAAAAAAACAAAACTCAGGGATAGACTCGAGCCGGCTGCTTTGACAGTAGCTCATTTGGACACAACTACTGGTTTTCATTTTAGTCATCTAATAAGAGTCTGGTTAACATCTGGGCCACTAGATTAATGCAATGCAGAACACAACAATACTTACAGAGAATATGAGCACTGCCACACCTCCAGCCTTTTAACTGGTTAAATCACTCAACAGCAGATGCACAAAAGGACTCTCTGTTCTCAATAACAGGCTGGATTGTGAACAGAAGCTGTTACACTCTGAACCATCATAAATTAAAAAGGGACGGCATCAGACATATTATCTTTATTTCCATTACTAAACAAAAAACAATCTCTTAATAAGGATTCATTCCCCTAAAAACTTTCAAGTAACTAGATCTGCCTCCTATGAGCTTTCAGAAATACACACTTAAAAGATTGCATTATGCTCAAACTAAACAATAATAAAATATTGCTGTGTGTATAAAAGATCTGGCAAAAAGACAGTAAGATAAGTGACATGGACTAACCAAACATGCTTAATCCTTGGCGGAGATACTGAGGATTCTCTGATGAGAACATGGTTGAATTAAATCCTTGTCGTTTCTCCCAAAAATGTAAAAAAAAAAAATTGTAACAAAAAAGAATAATGATATGTCCTTTTAAAATGTCTCTTCTACAACACACAGAGATCCAGGTATGGAAACATCTTTAATCCACAATCTCGAGCTGATGTTGCTGGGATGCTCACAGATGATGACGACAAGTGCTCAATGGTGTCTGTATCCGTTTCATCCCTACAGGTTGCAGTCATCATTCACAACAATTACTGCATCATGAGGATTTTAAGATGTGGCATAAAGAGGTATCTGCTTTTGTTTGGTTTGTTTTTTTGTTTGTTTTTTTAGTTCCAATGCGAGTAAAAAACATGAAATATGTTCGTCAAGTAGAGGCCATCTCTAGGTATCGCAGAATGCCGCAATCTAATCTCGCACACGGAACAATCAAACATCAGTGGACAAAATGTACGATAAACGATTACAATAAATCACACAACTTAAGGTAAATCTGTAAGAATGCAACAGTGTACAGACGACCCACTGAAACGATGATTATGATCGAAGGCAGGGATCCTCCTCCCTTTGGTCTAATTACCCCCGATGCCCTCTCTCCCTGTTTGTTTACATTACTACAGCAGCTCGGTCGCGAAGGGGTTAACAAGGCCTCGAGCCCATCCACGGCCTGGATTAAAACATCCACCCGAAAACTACGCAGTCTGTCCGGGCCATGCCAAACCTGGCTCTGTGCTACAATACAGCTGCAGACAGGTGGGCTCGATGGGTATTAGCGAGCACATAAAGCTCCCCGAGTAAAAACAGCTAGAAAGGAAATAACTGGGGCTGCTGTAGGAGGGCACCGTATCGATCAGGCTGAAAACAGCACTGCAACAAACAAATTGGGGCGATCAAAGCTAAGGAGAGTCCACTTGGAACTTGGAAGAGCTGCGTGACAATCTGATTATATCCTCAAAAGTGTGCACAGTTTATTAAAACACACACACACACACACACTAGACTTTTTAATACTCGCTTGATTCGTGCAATAATAAAAAAAGAAAAACCCCCACAGAGACGCTGATTTAGCTGCCTCCTGCAACGACCGGAGCCTCAAGAGTACCTCTCCAAACTGGACCCACCTCTCGGGAACGCCCCTGGTCGTGCACCCGTCGCACAGACAGAGGCAAAAGAAATTGTTCTCATGTCTCAACTACAAAAGGCGTATTCACGTGTATCGGCTGCCAAAAAGAAATCCAGCGAGGACTGTTTGACAAGTGCATTACCACCAAATACTAACTCGTTTTTCCCGTTACCTGCACTCCCCCCCCCCTCTTACGAAGAACCGTACCATGCACCTGTCTTAACCCGACACTTTAAGTCAACACCTGCCAATGTGCAAAATCACGTATAAAAAGGGCAGCGACCAACTTCAGTTCACGCGTGTTTACTTCGCATAAGCAGACGTCGTTGACTGTAAATATGGTGCATTCATCCATCACCCAGCGCTCGCAACCCCGCTATCCATCAACTATGATTATCACCACCAAATAAAACACCTATCGTCTCTACTGACCAACTGGAGCCTTAAATCTGATCTCTGTGCAGTCTCTAACCAGCTCCTGTCCTACCTGGCAGACAGACCTGGCATTAGCTACAACACAAGCGATAAACGCGACCACGGTGAGGACTCCTGGCTCCAGTCAGCTCGCAGAAAGGACAAATATTGTTGTTGTGTGTGTAAATACAAACACATATATACACGATCTGTCTCCTTCTCGAGGCAGTAACCGTGTAGTCTGGCTGGAGATGCCCGGCGGGGCGGCTTTACAAGAAGCGATATCCAGTTAGGGTTGAGTCCGACGGTGAGCTCCGTCCGTCTGCAGCAGGTTAGCTAGCCACTTCGTGCGGACGCCACGGCGCGCACACCGTCCGGTTTGGTTAATACTTGGTAACACGAGTGTTGTTTTGGTCCAGTAAAGTGCTCGTGTGGCATCTCCGCAGCTCCCGGCCCGAGTTTACTCCGTTATTTTTTTGTCTCGTTGTGTCTCTCGCAAGCCTTGGCCCTTTCTTTCTCTTTCCCTCCCTCTTCCTCTTGTTGTAAACTAGGCTGCTTGCAACCCCCCCACCTCCCCCCCCGCCGCTGCACTCGTGCCCC